GGGAGTGCTCTGCCCAGGGAGTGCTCTGCCCCGGGAGTGCTCTGCCCCCAGGAGTGCTCTGCCCAGGGAGTGCTCTGCTCTGTGTCCATGCATCTTAACTCTACCTTCTCATCCTTGGACCCCCTCTCCTGCCACTGAAATGGACAACCAGTGAGCCCAGCAGCTAAAAGAAACAGCATTTAAAATGTACTGCCGAGCACAGCAGATGTGGCCCTGGGAGCCAAAAACTGAGTTTCAAAGTGGGTGCAACACCGCTCTCTCCCCCAGGGCCCAACACCCAGCCCCAGTAAGAGGTACAGTTGCTGCCAGAGTAAGCAGCTGAAGAGAACAAGACATACAAAAGGTTTCCAGAGAGCCTCTGTCCTAGGGACACACTCTACACATTTAGAAAAAGCCAGACCTCTAAGTGTCTGGAAACAGGTGGACCCTCAAGGTGCCAAACAGGAAGGGGTACCTTCCTGCAGGCCTGGATCAAGGAGGGGTGACATGCTGGACACCTACTGTGAGCTCAGACCTAGATTTTCCCCTGAGGGTGAAGAGGCAAGAGGACGATGAAGAAATGGACTCAGACATCTGTTCTCAGACCTCAGGATACAAAGGTGTGATCTGTGGGAGTCTCCCAAGCTCACTTTCCCTAGAAAGCTTGATTCTGCCCCTTCCCCATGCTCTTCCAAGAGACTCTCATGCAGGAGGTCCCGGGGCTACAGTGGTACTCTCAAGCTGTTTGTACCCCAGATGGGGTGATGGGAAGCCCCAGGAGACTAGGCTTCACCAGAGATTGAACTTTGGATGAAGCATGTTCTGAATGTTACAGGAGTGGAAAAAGAGGCGAGGCCGGGAAGGCAGTTAATGTGAGCGGCCTTTAGTCAGGCATGTGTTGGTAAGAGACAGCCGGCCCAGATCACGCTTAGTGAAGTAAGCCAGAAAGAAAAGGAAAAATACCGGATGGTTTCACTCATAGCAGGAGTATAATGGACCAGGCAAGAAAATAATAGTATAATGAACAGCCATATACCAGAGACATTTTATGGGGGTGGAGTGGGGAATGGAATCAAAAACAGTAGGGGGAGGGAAATGCACTGGAAGCCTGAGGGGATTACAACAGAGATGAAAAAATGCACAAAATGATGTAAAAATAAAC